GAAACAACGAAAGAAAGAAACAAGCGCAGAACAAAGTACAATGCGCCTCAGGGAACGCCGCCATCCTTTGGGCAGCCTCTTTGCCAGTGCCTGGGCCCCAACGAGCCCGAAGATTATTGGTTGTTCTCTTTGCCTGAGTGCTTCCATGTTTCCTTGTTTGGTTGCTTGGTTCTTTCTGTTTGCTTGATGTGTGCCTGCTTGTTGTGCTTGTGCGCGTTTGTTTGCGCGCTTGCTTGTTTGCCGGACTTGTTGCTTGTGTCTTTGCTGGCGTGCGGGTTTGTTTGATTGGTGTGTTCTTAAGAGTTGTCTTGTGTGATTGTATTTTGTTTTTGTGAGGCGGTGTGTTGTGTTGTGCTTGTTGTGTTTGTTAGTTTGCTTCCTTATTTATTTGTTTGTTTGTTTGTTTGTTTGATTGTTTGATTGCTTGCGCGCTTGTTGGTTCCTTGCGTTCTTGCTTTCTTGTTTGATTGATTGCTTCCTTGTTTGTTTGTTTGTATGTAATTGATTGCTTGTTTGTTTGTCTGTTTGCTTCGCTGTTTGATTGTTTGATTGCTTTTTAGCTCTTTGTTTGTTTGCGTGCTTGCGTGTTCGGTTTTTTGTTGGTTTATTTGTGCTTGTGTGTTTGTTTGTTCGATTGCTTGTGTTGGTTTGTTTGATTGTTTTTGTTTGTTTGTTTGTTTCTTTGCTTGCTTGCTTGCTTGCTTGTTTCCTTGCGTTCTTGCTTTCTTGTTTGATTGATTGCTTCCTTGTTTGTTTGTTTGTATGTAATTGATTGCTTGTTTGTTTGTCTGTTTGCTTCGCTGTTTGATTGTTTGATTGCTTTTTAGCTCTTTGTTTGTTTGCGTGCTTGCGTGTTCGGTTTTTTGTTGGTTTATTTGTGTTTGTGTGTTTATTTGTTTGTTCGATTGCTTGTGTTGGTTTGTTTGATTGTTTTTGTTTGTTTGTTTGTTTGCTTGCTTGCTTGCTTGCTTGCTTGCTTGCTTGCTTGCTTGTTGGTTTGCTTCTTTCACGCTTTCTTTAGTTCTTTCTTTATTTCGTGTGTGTGTGTGTTTGATTGTCTTTGATTGTTTGTTTGTTTGTCTTGCTTTTTTGTTTGTTTGTTTGTTTGTTTGTTTGTCTTGGTTGTTTTGGTTTGTCTGTGTGTTTGATTGCTTGCTTGTTTTTTGGCTGGTTCTTTGCTTGATTGCTTGCTTGTTTGATTGATTTTGATTGATTGATTGATTGATTGATTGATTGATTGATTGATTGATTGATTGATTCATTCATTCATTCATTCATTCATTCATTGATTCATTGATTCATTGATTCATTGATTCATTGTTTGTTTGTTTGGTTGTTTGTTTGCTTGTTTGTTTGTTTGCTTGGTTGTTTGTTTGTTTGTTTGTTTGTTCGTTCCTTCGTTCGTTGCTTGTTTTTTTGCTTGTTTTCTTAGTTGTTTGTTTGTCTGTTTGTTTGTTCGTTCGTTCGTTCGTTCGTTCGTTGCTTGTTTTTTTTGCTTGTTTTCTTAGTTGTTTGTTTGCTTGTTTGTTTGTTTGTTTGTTTGTTTGTTTGTTTGTTTGTGTGTGTGCGTGCTTGTTTTTGCTTGTTGTTTTTGTGTTTGGTTGTTTGCGTATTTTCTTGTTTGTTTGGTTGTTTGTTTGGTTGATCGTTCGTTAGTTCGGTCATTTGTTTGTTGGTTTGCTCTCTTGTTTGTTTATTTGTCTGTTTGTTTGTTGGCTTGGTTGTTTGGCTGTTTGTTTTTTTGTTTGACTGGCTGTTTGCTTGCTTGTTTGTGTTTGTTTGTTTGTTTGTGTGACTCTCTGTTTGTTTGATAGTTGGTTGGTTGGTAGGTTGGTAGGTTGGTTGCTTGCTTGCTTGCTTGCTTGCTTGCTTGCTTGCTTGCTTGCTTGCTTGCTTCGGCTTCGGACAACCGAGGACAGCCAGTGACTACGCCTGGTCTTGGTGTCCCGTTGCACCGGCCAAGGAACAATAAACGAAACAGCACAGAGGACATCTCAACAAGGAAGCTCTAGGATCTCCCTGGATATCTTCAAAAGTTGCACTTTATTGCTGGGTTCCAACGAAACAAGACCACCTTCCAAGACAAACAAAACGGAAAATCGAGGAAACCGGAAACGGGCAGCGTGGCACTAGGTTGCCAGGTCTCCGCTCCAAAGAGCGAAAGGCATGTCTTACTTCAAACCAGTAAAACTGCAACCTTCCTCCAGATTTGAGAGTTTAGAATAAGTTGGTACCGTTTCTTTTTGCTGTCTATTTCAGTAAGAACCGTCGGGGGCTTCCCCTCCCAACCAAAAAAGTTGGGTGAGAAAGGGCACCAATTGCTGGGGGACCTAGGAACTGTAACATGCTTCCTAACCTCCGCGAAACATGAGCTGAGTTGAGTGGCCAACAAAAAGGAACACGTCAACTTGCCAAAGTGAAGCAACCCGCGAAGCCCTTCTTGCGCAACCCGGGAATAAGCAGGAAGGGAAGCTGGAGGTTGGGATTTTCTACAAGCACTGTTTTTTAGTGTTTCTCAGTGTCTTCGCTTTCTCTAATGAAGCCTTTAAGGTTCATTTCAGGTCGTTTCGCTTTCGGCAACTGAGAAACGGAAAGCAAACCAATTCCAAAAGGCCACTGAAACATCCCGGGAAAAATAAAAAAGAGAACTAACAACATGAAATTGACAACCTCTATGACAGGGTCTCAACCTCTTTGGATGTCCCAGGCACTCAAAGCTGAGTCACAACCTCTGCTAGGGCCTCCCGCAAAGAGGCTAGAATAAGGCTCGCCTTTTTTCGGTTAGTTTTAGTGGAATCCCCAAAATACACAATGGAAAAAGAGCACCTAGCTGGGGGACCTGGTCTATGTCTGGGACCTCCAAACCTGTGACTCGTTGCAAGCCTCGCCCCGAGCCTCGGCTTGGCGGCAGAAGCCGGCGGCTTCGGCCGCCGCCGGCGCGAGGAGCACCAGCCACGCGAACCGCGCCATGGGCTTGGAAGCCTCTTGGTGGGTTTTAAGGGGAAACCGACAAAAACACCAGGTGAATGAGCATAGGCCTTTGAAAAAGAAAAGATGGGTTTTCTGGTAAATGGAATGAACCCCATCTAAACCAGGGCCCTCTATGTTTTAAGCAAACCAACCAAAAAGGACACCTATGGTTGTTCGGGTTTTAACGGTTTTACGGGGAAACTGGAAAAAACAGATGCTCCTTATAATTGTTTTTTTTCTCCTCAACCAGTCCAGTTATTCCTTTAAACAAAAAGGCGGGGGGGGTCCCCCCAAAAAAAGACGCACCCTGGTCGAGCTTCTGAAGTGGAAAGCAAGTTGTGGATCCAAAAGGCCACATCGATTCAGTCGCACAAACCCATGGTCTGTGCTTAGACCGGGAAAGGGTTGGTAACTCAAGTTCAGGTGTACAGGCAGCACCACTGAAGAGCTACAGGCAACTTTTCCTTCGGGTGCCTCTTGTCCGAATTGATTCTACTTTGATGGCCCGTAAATTGCTAGCTAAGTAGCAGTAGTTCTGAAGGTGTACAGGTGAGAAGTGGATGGCGCAGTGCCGGGGGGGTTCAGTTTGGAGTTCAATGTAAATGGGGGGCTTTGAGCGGCTCACGCGATTCCTCCCATCCCGGCCGAAAACCCGTTGAGAGTGGCTGGGGCCGGCACGCTCCCAGGTCTCAAAAAGACACCCGAATCCATGTTCTGGGATGGTTGCGTGGTAGGTTCGGCGATCTCGACAGACCCTCACACGACGTCAGCCTTGAGCCTGCACGTTTCGAAGGGATATGAGTTCATTCTCTATGGACGAAGCCCTGCGCTGGGATGGATGAAAGCCCATGAGACAACCTCCTACCAACTGGTGCAGGATGTGGTGCATCCAATAATTTGCGTGCTTAGTGCAAGCAAATAAAACCATTTGGGTTCGTCGCCGAATCGCGGAACCCAAACATAGGCTTCCGCGTGGTTTGCCTTTTCAAGAAACCCAAAACAGGATCCCTCACAAAGGCGCCCGCATTCAACAAACAGTTTTCTTTGACACCAACAAGAAACACATAGCGCATCTCCTTGAGCAAACAGAAGTTACAATTAAATATGCAGCTAGAGCACTCACATTTGGCTTGCCACATCTGGCATGCATTCCACGGAGTGGTTGGCTCATGCTGATCACCAGGCCACGTCCCGCAGTCCAAACGGTTCTTGCTCTGCTCTCGAGCCGTTCTCTTGTGGAAGCCGTTGTCTTCCGGTGCTATGTTAGCAAAACACCTTGGGTTTTGCAGCCCTCCCCCCAAACAAATATATATATATATATATATATATAATAATAATAATAATAATAATAATAATAATAATAATAATAATAATAATAATAATAATAATAATAATAATAATAATAATCATAATAATAATAATAATAATAATAATAATAATAATAATAATAATAATAATAATAATAATAATAATAATAATAATAATAATAATAATAATAATAATAATAATAATAATAATAATAATAATAATAATAATAATAATAATAATAATAATAATAATAATAATAATAAAAATAATAATAATAATAATAATAATAATAATAATAATAATAATAATAATAATAATAAATACTAATAATAATAATAATAATAATACTAACAATAATAATAATAATAACAATAACAATAATAATAATAATAACTAAATAAATAAATAAATGAAACAACTAAATGAAATCCGGCAAATAAACTAACAAGCAAGCTCACACAAACACAAAAAAAAGTAGACAAGCATAACAAGCAAAGCAAACAACCAAACAACCAATCAACCAAAGACCCAAACACCCAAAGCACCAAACAACCAAACAACCAAGCAACCAAACAACCAACCAACTAAACAACCAAACAACCAACCTACACATCTACCAACCAGCCCGCTAACCAAAGCTACCAACCGGTCACACAAACAAACAAACAAACAAACAAACAAACAAGTTCGAAGCAAGGAAGACATGTCCATGGTGAGCCGAT